TTCCCCATGTAAGCTATAGTATAATAAATATTTTTTTTAAATTGGCATTAAATAATTTGCATGTATTATATATGTTAATTCTTTGTTATTTGCTGTACATTAATTTGTTCTTGTATATGAAGCAACAACATAAGCTATTGACCAGATATATTGGACCAAGGCAAATTTATATCTGATGACTTCAGGCCAAAAGAGCTTATTGTATGGTTGATTATTTGTTATGCCATATTCATCAACATTTTCAATTTTTAATTTCTTCTCCAAAAACACTTGTGTATTTTGGCTAAATTTTACAGATGGAATTAAGGCATTTAAAGTCTTTTAAAATTTTCAGAATTATACCAAACCTCCCTCAAATATGGCAAACCTAGGCTGGACATAAATTTTTGAGATCCCTGTTGCCAAGGCAAGCGTCTACATGCCTGACCTATTTAGAGAAGGTTAAAAATGTAAAGGAATAATATAGAGCACAACTTTTTGATACATAATAGTACAAGCATGATATCAAATGCATGCACATCAATTCATATGATATTTTATCTAAACAATGCCTTGATAAGCAAACAAAACTTTCATTTGCAAACTTAGAGCAGTCACTTTATATATGCTCCATTGAATATATAGAAAAACTGTTGGCAAGGAAGCAGCTCATAAATGACTGCAGAAAGATTGTTACACAAAGGCATACATTGCAACCATTATGCTTTTGGCTTAATCATTGCTTTTTATTCACTGAGTTACGTCTAAATGCTTGCATGTATATGGATGATGCTTTTCCAGTACATTAAAAAAATAAAGGAATAAAAAGTTGTGTTTGTCATTTATATTATCAGCTTTTTATTTCCACTTATAAAAATGTGAAAATATTTTTAAAAGAAAGACTTGTGTAATAAGTGCATAAGAGCTAATTTGCCCATCATAAATCTACACATACTTTACAAATGTTACATTCATAGTGACTGTTGGGGCCTCGAGTGGCCGAGTGGTCTAAAGCGCTGTCCGTTACGGATCACTGCCATCTCACCTCTGTCTGCTTGGGTTCGCGTCTAGGATTCGTCGAATGTGGATATGTAAGAAAGCTTGCCAGTAGCTTCTCGTGGGTCGGTGGTTCTTTTCGGTGGTTGCCTGGTTTCTTCCTCCACCATTAATACTGTTCGCCATGAATAGCCTATCGTGTGCTGAAAAATGTCGTTAAACCCAACAACAACAACAGCATAGTGACTGTTAATAACCCATTTCCATGACAGGTTTTGTTTAATTTGAAACTTTACCTCGCAGATTCATTTTATTATTAAAGTTAGTTAGTAGACCAGTCACTACTTTTAAAGAAAATGGTGCCAGATATGAAAAACAGGCTTTTACAGACTTATTGATCAAAATTCTTTGAGCAGATGGGTATTTTTAAATTTCAAAACAGAAAAAGTACAAATCAGCAGCTCATAAAGTGTGTTTGCTGAATATAAAAATTCTTTAGTAGTTATTGTGTTTGTATTCTGATGTTAATCCATAAAGATTTGTCAATTTGTGCCAAGTATTTTGACCCGCAAATCAAGGTTATTAGTAAAAAACAGATTTACATTTTTCATTGTGTTCCAAAGTTATGGCATATTAGCTATGATGTCTTGACATTGATGAAGTAGGAGTACCGGTATTAATACTAGTGATATATAGATTACAATTTTCATGTTTTTTACCACTTATATTAGCAAAAAGTATGCTTATACCTCATGTGTTTGGCATGTATGCAAAATATAATTGTATAGCAAATTTGGTGGGTGGATTAAAATGGCTGGTGTGGCCAGGTGACTGCTAGTACAAATGATCAGGTTTTCTAGGTTTATCTAAGTCAGGTTCTCTATTTGTAACCTTTATTTTCCCATTTTTCTACCCACCATCTCCTCTTTGAAGACCAAAACAACCCACAACACATAAAAACTACATTTGACATTTCATTCATATGTTCATTACGTCATACATTGGTCTTGCACATAATTGAGTTAATTTAATTGTGGAAATATCTGACAGCATTCAAGCGCTTAGTTAAAAATTTGATGTATGTTAAATAGATTGCCTTAAACATAATTAGGACTTATTTGATCACACCTGTGATATGTAGGCAATATAAACATGTCAAAAAAGTTTATTTATAGATTTTGAGCAGACTGAGTAGAGAATGGAATATTTTGGCAGAGAATGGAATATTTTGGCCAAGGTAGTCTAGTTATCATTGCAAACTGTACAAAGGTAAATTGATGTCCAGTAAAAAATTTATCACATATTATTATTTAGTTTTTAAAAGGGTTTTCTTTTTAGCTGCATAAAAAATACTTTTTCTGGTTGGATAAAATGTTAGATTTCACAAGCCCTCATTGCATTGGTTTGAAAGATATGAAACGAAGCAGATTCATTGGTATTGTTTGTCCTCAATGTAAATACTGCCCCTTGGATATCCAATGTGACCATGATGGTTGCAGTCTTGAAAATCTTGTTGCTTTACCTCTTGAATGGATGGGCATATTGATATGGAGTTTTTTTTTTACATGTAGTATGATGTATAGATGGTCTTAAATGAAAGTGGTACCAATGTAACCTTCAGCATAGTCACCAAAATTTTGTCATAGCTACTTCCTCTGAACAATTGATTGTATCAAGGTGGGCTTGCTGCTGAAACATTTCTCCTTCAAAATATGTTCCCCATTCTCATTTGGTTTCAAATGTTAGCCTGCTATCTCCTGAATCCTGCCACAGTTAAAAAAAACCCCCCAAAAATAGTTATATTTGAATAGACAAAGTGCAATAACTCTTGCCCATTACCTCCCCTTGGCACTACCAGGGGTCACTGTTTTTAAGATTCACTGCTATACAGAGCACATATTCTACAGTTCATCCTCTGACAATCAGGCTGATTCCTGTGTTTTTGGCATTCAATCTATCTCCCATATCCATCAAACAGGTTGGATTATACAGGTTATTTCACAGGGGCTTCATTTAACACCTTCCCTCTCCTCTTCATGGATGCACCATTAAATCAGGAAAAGGATGCCTTTCTACAACAGGAGATATGGTTGCTCATCAAAAACCAAAAAAGATATGGTGGATCTTGTGCAAAGACCACAATCCCTAGGGTTTTATTCATTTTTCGAATAGCAAACTGCAAGTTGCGACATATCATTGACTGGAGTTGTCTCAACAGTGGTTATGGAGTACATTGTCACCCCATTCCGATCGACATAATATATACGGACGGCAGCATATCTGGATAACCTCCTACGATCTACTCTGTCTTTTAGATCATCCAGGCTTTCATGTGAACATAGAAATTTAACCAGCTGGAATTTGGTGTGACTTCCTCATGTTTGCATTATCAAAATCAAGCTCGTCGAGTCCAATTTCAACAGGACTTGAATTTCAGTGAGAGAGTTTTGCAGGTATTGCAAGCACAGTGGCACCCCTTTTCAAGTTTTCTTGATCAAACAGTCATGATCACACCTGATATTCGATCATTAGTATCAGTGCTACAACCCAGGTTGGCTGACCATGGGAACATTGCTGGAGAACCCCCAAGTGGAAATAATGGTAAGTACCAATGCCAGTGCATACTGTGAGGATGCCCACCTGTTGTCAACCTTCACAATCGTTATTGACATATGGGTGCCAGGGGAACATCCTCTGCATACTGACATCCAAGCAGTGAAGGCTGTCATTAGTGCCTTTTACTTTTAAAAGATCGACTCTGAGGCAAAAATAGTCCTCATTAGGCAAATCTGAATCTTCTCCAGCAACCACGGTGGGTGGTCTTTTCCTGCATAAAATGTCCTCTTCTTCTTCATGCTTGCCTCTTATCAGCATGGCCTTATGAGATAAACAATTCAAACCTTCGATTGTGGAGAGAATCTTGAGAGCAGAAAGCCCTCTGCTCTGAAGCCTCATAAGGGAAAGCGGCATGATCTTAGGGACTGTACCATACCAACAACATTATCACTCTGCGGGCGTGAATCCTCAACTGACTGACCTTTTTTTCTGGCCCATAATATTTGACACATTACAGTATCATTGTAGATATGATTTTGGGCAGGATCAAGACCTATAATATTTTTCAGACAATTTTGGTCCCAATTGACCAAAATCACTCATTCTGTCTCCAAATAGAACCAAGCCTGGGTTTTAATATGACACATGAGCGGTGTTTCATTACACTTCCTGGTTTTTCTGTTCTGACTGGATTTTTATTTGGATGACAGTTTTATCTCTGTAACGAGTTTTACTAAGACTGGTCTCTTATCTCTCATTATAGCATTTTTTACCTTGACATCGGACCATAAGATTAGAAGCTAGCATCGTATCTAATGTATACAAAATTGACTGGAAAATAATGGATTGCAGAAATATTAGACCTACATAGACCTAATGAATATTTAGGTGGGGATAGGATATCTTGAGTTGTTTTATTTACCAAACCAGTATGAGTATGCGAATTATACTGCAGCACTGCCATAGTGGCCGTTATCGTTAAAACTGTTTAAATGCCAACATGCACAGCAAATACTGTCCATGTGATTTCATGCAGTCAGAAATTTTGTCGTGCTTTATTGATAAAACTGCAGACTCCTGTGGATTAGACAACAGGAGTGTCATCATAGATGATGCAGTAGTTGATGAGCTTAGTGTTTGGTGTGTTTATAATTTTTAACATAGCTTTAACACTTTTTCAGTCATATCGCTATGATGTCTGCAGTGTGGCAGTTTATAGTGATGTCTAGCACAGGGGCTAGACCAAAAAGTAGGTCTCTGCTGTTTTTTTTATCTGATAGCAGCTGTCAGATATGAAAAAAAGCAGAGACCTACTTGTTGGTATAACACAGGGGCATAATGCCGCATGTAGCTTGATGTCCCACCCAGTCACATTATCCTGACATCAGGCTGATCAGTCCTAACACTAGCCTCTTAATGCTGAGCATCAAGCGAGGCAGCTATTAGTACCATTTTTAAAGTCTTTGGTATGACTCAACCTGGGATCGAACCCAATACCTCCCGCATTTAAGGTGGACACTTTAACCACTAGGCCACCGGAGCGGTTTGTTGATGAGCATGAGAATAATGGAGTTCACTTGGAAAAATTTTGTTCTTATGAAATGTGCAGGGATTGAGAAATGTAAACAATTGGTTTGATGGCTTGAAGAATCAAAACATTTTATTTTATTATTTATGTGATCTTGTTAAACAATAAACTGACACGAAATTGAACATTTTCAGACCAAAGACAACAATCATACATAAGCTTAAGCATCTCATAAGCTTAAGCATCTACTAAAAACAAGTTGTAATTGAAATATAAACCTAAAGTACATATAAACTGTTCTGTGGAAAAATATATGAGAATTATTCAAAATTACTATTTCGATACTTGTGACTGACTTTTTCAGCTCTATAAAAAAAATTAGATCATACAGTAATAACACCTTAACACCTTTTTGGACTTTATGATTTATGTTCTGAATTTATTATGTGTATCTGAAACTGGGACCAATATAAGGTGAAGTTGTTTGCACTGACAACATGTACCATGGAAAGCATGTTGGCATACCTCATTGCTGTTTTCATGTACTGTGACTGAAATTTCTTTACAGTTGCCTGTGATCATAATGGAAACTGCACTATCAAAAGCAGATGGTTTATCAAAATGGCAGCTCTTATGTGCTACAAAAAATGAGCCTGAACTATTCCAAAATAAACTTTATCAGTTATTAAAATGGGGAAAATGAAAGTTGCCAGACTAAGTTTCTGAAAATGCAAATATGGGACATCCTTAAACAATAAATCCATCTGCAAAATGTACAACTGTACAAAAGAACCTTTATGACCCCAAGAAAAAGTTTGGTAAGGGTCAAAGCCAGCACAAGCAATATACAAGCAGTGCAGTTGCACATTGACCCATTTTCAGAGGGTTGCCAAATCAGAGAAGATAAATGTTACAAAAAATCAAACAAGAGGACTAAAATGCAACAAACAATCTTTTCATTTGGTCATAACTTGCATCAGTTTCTTATGAGCTTTATCAGCAAATAATTAATGACAGTGCATCAGAGCACCATGTGTTTCATTCAGGGCACTGTATTGCCTCACGCTTGTACCCATGTCTAGAACAAAAGCCACTCTGCAACATCCATTTTTACAAACTCCTAGTAACATGACATTCAGACCCCAAAATCAGTAGGCCTCTTTCATACCATAAATGCAAGCCCTCTGCAAGCTGTGGCATAGAAAAACGTTATTATGCAACAATAATACCTTAAACACTACATCCTCAAACCATGTTTAATAGCCTTCTTTGTACAGAAATCACATTTCTTCATTTAGTTGGTGACAATGACCTTGATCCAAAAACCAAAGGTATCCTCCTCATCCTGAGCGCAAGCCACTGATGAAGCTTGGGCAAAGCTGTGATGTAAAACTAATGTTATTGTGTGAAAACCATTTTTTTTTACTCAGCAGCCATGACTTTTGACATTATATTAATAGTCTTCTTTCTTACCCCAAGTGCAACCAGAAAGTTTGGCCCAGATATAAAACACAGAGTCACTTGAAGTGACTGATGCTTTCCTAGGCAAAAAGAATTTCCTGGAATTCAAGATAAAACCACATTTCTGTTAATGGCTGAAACATTGAAACTCAGATATTCTTCAATGATTACATCAATTTAAGTCATTTAGTCCATGTGATAATGATCATCCATTCAGGGGGATTAGTAATAAGATGATTTTTACAGCTGGCATCATGGCAGCCATATTGGATGTATGACTGGCATCATTTTTATCAGAACCATTATGAGAAGTCTATTGTTGAAAACTCACTGTTGCTATAGCCATCCATGTGGGAGCAGAGATAATATTATTTTCAAGATATTCATGATGGTGGTCATGTTGACAGTTTCATTAAAGACCAAGTCGACACCATACAAATTCTCCTGATAAAAACCCCATATAAAAATGAACTGTCTAAAAGAGGAGTGTGAAAACAAGATTTACTGGAAATGACATCAGCACCATTTTTATTAAGGGTGAAAAATACAAGAAGTTTTTTTAGTGAAAACTCCATTATATGGCCATTCATTAATGAGAATTAGTGACAACAGGATTTTCAAGCTGGTCACTATGCAGTCATATTAGATCCCAGATAAGCATCATTATCATTTAGGATTAAGAAGGCATCATAATTAGTCATTTTGGCAGTTCAGGAGAAGTAGTTATAAACAGTTTACTAGATGGCAACTGTGGGGGCCATGTTCAATGTCAAATCAGCACCGGATGAATTGCAATAAGATTTTAATGATGGCTGCAATGGAGGCATTATCAACTTCAGATCAGCACCGTTTTCATTTAGGTCCAAGTAGACATCATGAAAATACTTTTAGTGAAAACTCCATGATGATATGACCATCCATTTAGAAGGAGTATCAATAACAAGGCTTTAAGATGAATGCCTGGTGGCCATATTTTCTTTCAAATCACTACAGTTATAAATATTGCATAGGATTTAATTTTTAAAGCAAGGAATTTTCTCAAGTTTTCTTCACTGGCTATCCTGGTGATTTAAAAAGATCTTGTATATCTTCAATATTGGTAAAAGAATATTTAATTCCATTTATTTTGGTGTGTGATTGATGGGTGTGGATTATAGAATATACAGCTTTTCCTCACTTTAGATGTGCTCCTGTAAAAATACTGCAAGTTGTATGTGGTCATTTTCGCTTCATGAGCAAGCTAAATTTTAAAAACGGCAATGAGATAACTTTTTTTTTACTTATATATTTTATAATTCATTCAGAAGCTGTTATTACCTGCTCTGGCAAAATTTGTTTTCCTTATTTCAATACATGCTAAAGTTAGTGCACTTTGAGCTAGTATACTATGCAGGGGCAGTCATTTTGATCACACGTGTTTAGATCACAAATGATTTCCACAACTACAACATGCAAATAAACTTTAGCCATATTACATGAAAGTAGTATGTATAGAGATATGACAACATTATCTCTCTACAAATGAAAACTTCATCTTACATCCTGTCACTCTGTTAGTCCGAGTTTCCTCTGACCCTTGACACCCCATTTTTGATGTTTTTTTTAATGTAAAACCAAACCAAATATTAAAAATGGGGTGTCAAGGGTCAGAGGAAACTGGGACTATCACTATGTCTGTGGAGCACCCCCCATAAGAAGTCCTTTAGTGTAAACCCCCATTTTATATAACTATCCTTTAAGGAAGAATAAGGAAAGTACAGATAAAAAAATGTTATATTATGGAAACCAGTTTCTTTCTTTCAGTCTCAATGACCTTGACTGATGACCTTTTTACACAGCAATTTAATTGTGTAGAAATGACTTTTCTTCTTTGAGTTAGTGAATTTAACTAAGATCTTTTGCCTCTGAAATTGACTGGGTTCTTCCTTATCTCAAGAGCAAGCCAGCCATAATGGTTAATAACCATAGGTTATGGACAACTTAACTTCATGTATGGACATGAAATTGGTAACGAGCAGATACATAACATACAATGCTCCAACATAAAATAGTCAACGATGGCTTGATGGATAGAAAAATATCTCAGGAGTAACACAAGCCATATAATATGATCGCATACCATTAAAGACGAAAATAGGAAAAGGAAATCTAGGATCATGGGTTGAACGAAATGTTCAAAATTTATATACCTTGTCTCTTATATAATATGACAGGGAGTAATCAATGTCAGAACGGGTCAACGGGTAATCTGAGGTATTTTTGACACTGTATGACTTTTTCCTTAAGATTATTGTTTTGTTGTTGTTTTTTTAACATCAAGCTCGAGTTGAATACCTGTGTGATAAACATGGCAGGCAAGAAACACTGTAGGTCCTTTAGAAGTCCCACATGAACTTATGACCTCTATACATTACTGTTTAATTACCTCTACTTTAATTTTGTGCTGCACACTGGAGAAAATTGATGCACAGAAATTTTTGCTAATGATTCTTAGTGCACGCCATTTTCGTCTTGCCATTGATGGCACTCACCAGTTATTATGTACTTTTGAGAGAGTGATGTATGTAAGGTGAAGTTGTTTGCATTTTAAACATGCACAGTGGAGAGAATGTTGGCATACCTATATACTACTTTCATGTAATGTGGAAGAAATTTCTTTGGATATTGTACTTTTGGAAATTTTAAATGATCTTAGGACACTGCTAACTAAAATGACTGCTCCCTTGTGCTCCAAAAATCAACCTAAATTTGTCTAAAGTACACTATTCTTGACAGCTATTAAAATATGGAAAATGAATTTTGCCAAACTAGATAATACCAGCTTTTAAAAGTGCAATGACTGAATTACCAAATAAATAAAATGTAAAAAAAAGTCAGCGGCTCTTTTTTTTCACAATTTACCTCTGAATTTCGAGAAGTGAAAATGAGCAAGTAGAGCTAGCACTTTTTTGAAAGGTGCACATCTGGAGTAAGGCCAAGCTGTATACTCTCTAACCCATATTACACCCATCAATCATACATCAAAATTAAGGGAATTAAAGGCTCTTTGAACAATACCTAAGATACACAAAGTCTCTTTTAAATAACCAGTATAACTAGTGAGGAAACTCGGGGAAACTCTTTTTCTTTAAAGTTTTAACCCTATGCTAAATACGAAACTGTAGAGCGCCACCATTACATTTTAGTGCAACAAGAATCGTGTGAGAGCGGGTGAGATCAGGGAAAGCTACTCTGTCATAATATTGCCTGATGGTAGTCTGGTTGTCTGCTTTGTACGCTCAGTATTGAAGTGTGCAATAAGCATAAGAAACAGGAAACCGGAAAAAGCATTCACAATGCCATCCGGCCATAGTACACAATTAATTTCGCTATATTGTCTCTACATTTGTTTCTCAGTACTGAACTTTCCACTGTGTGACAATCAATACAAATCATATGTTAATCTAAAATACCTTCAAAGATGACTTTACTGTTTAGTTCTTGTCAAGGGTTGACCTGCATTTTTTGAGAGGCTGAATTGTAAACAAAACACCAGGCAACGGAACACAGATTT